GACCTGGACCTGGACCTGGACCTGGACCTGGACCTGGACCTGGACCTGGACCTGGACCTGGACCTGGACCCTGTTTGAACAGTTTGAACAGTTTGATTCAGATTCAGGGTCTGTTTGACTGGAAGAGTCTTTTCCTTTTCCTACAGAAACCACTGCCCTGGACGTCACCTCTGGTCCTCGTCAACTGATCTCATGTTTGGGCCGTTTTATAAAAAAAGGAACATTTTCTTTTTCCAAATTCAAACCCTTCCCTGAAAACAAGACCAGTTTCAAAGGACACCAATCCAAGAGTGTCGCAAGATGTAAACAGACTTTGATGACGTTTAAGAAATGTCAACTTTATCAACTTAAGATTGACTTGTTCAAATTTATAATTTACAGAAGTGAAATTATTCAGAACGGATAAGAGTCGCAACGGTGACGTAAATGAGTCTCCCTGAAAAACAAGCCTCGGGTTTAAGAACACGTCCCTGAAGATAAAAGACAAAAACTCTGCAACAATGGGGACAAAAATAAAATAAAATATAGACCAGTGGTTCTCAAACTGTGGTACGTGTACCACCGGTGGGACACTGGGGAAAATTCATATTTTCACATTTACATGTGCGATTGTGAGATTATGAAATCGGATGTCTGCTCTTTTATTGTTTTACCCGTTTTTTTGCTGCGATGCAAAGTCTGTCGCTCACGTAACCACAGGCAGCAAGGAATCATGGGATCACTCGCAAGTCGAAGGTGGAACGAGCCGGGGAATTCTAAAAGTTTGAGAACCACTGGACGAAACAGAACTTTGTGTTTACTCTGTCGTTAACGACCGTTGTCATCATCACATCTGTTGGCGAGCGTTCACTCTCGCAAGTCGAAGGTGGAACGAGACGGGGAGTTCTAAAAGTTTGAGAACCACTGGAGGAAACAGAACTTCGTGTTTACTCTGTCGTTAACGACTGTTGTCGTCACATCTGTTGGCGAGCGTTCACTTCTGCGTGTGACCAGCTCACCTTTGTCGCCGGCGTGTGTGTTCTCAGGGTTGAGTGTGTCCAGTAGCTGGACGGAGCCGGTGGGTCGGACTTTGCCGCCGCCGCCGCTGCCGCCGCCGGCGGCCTGCCGAGGGTCGGCCCGGGG